GGTAGGAGAGGGGGAATGGTTTCAGGATGAAATTTTTCCACCACAGATCGTCAGGCATTAGCTTCTCATAAGGAACATGCCTAGGTCCCTTGCATGTGCAGTTCACAATAAGATTGGTGCTCCTATGAGAATCTAATGCCACAACTGATCTGACAAGAGGCAGAGCTCAGGCAGTAATGCTCACTTGCCCACTACTCACCTCCTGCTCTGTGGTCCAGTTCCTAACAGGCCAAAGACTGGTACTGGTCCATGGCGCAGGGGTTGGGGACCCCTGCACTAGGGAACTATGAATAAGATTGTTGGATTGTATCAATGTCAGTACTCTGGTTGTGTTATCGTACTATAGTTTTGCAAGATGTTATCATTTGGGGAAAGTGGATTGAGGGCCCATGTGACTCTCTGTACTCTTTATTACAACCATATGCAAATCTGCAATTATATTATTATCACCAATAACCATATTCCTTATCTTAGATCTGTTTTGAAAAAGATAACTTCGTGCCTAATATAATATGGTATCAAAAGTACAAACTTTGACCTTGACATATTGGGACTTGAATCCTGGCTCTATCGCTTTTTAATTGACAATGTTACTTAACCCCACATGGCTTTGTTTTCTCATCAAATGAATAAGAATAATAATAGTAAGTACCTTGCAGGATTTCAGGAATTAAATGAGATAGAGTATGTAAATCACTTTTTCTGTACTTGACATATAGGAAACACTGAAAAATATTAGCTGCTGTGGTCATTATCATCATTATAATCATCACTATTAATTATTACTTATGTGATTAGACGTAAGAGGAACTTTTAATCACCTTTTCTCAGGCTAGAGTCTAAACTAGCTACTGGATATTCTGGCTTCTCTTTAATAAAGGGCATTTGGAATTTTTACATTGTTTTACTTAAAATAAGTTTATTGTTTTACTTAAAATAAGTTAAAGTCCATTTTATCCCTTGAAACTATATGATCATTGCTAATGAATGTATTGTAACCAACTGTTGGAATTAATGATGGTAGATACTGAGATCAGTGTATTCTGTGTAAAATAAAATATAACAGAAAGGAGGAAGGAATTTATTGAAAATTGAACAACATTCATAGTATCCATACTCCAGTAATATGCTTCTGAAACACATAATTCTTTTTAGCTGGAGACTTGAAGGTTTTCTTTGCCAAAACAGTGCAACCAGTGATTTCTCCCTTTTCTATCAATCACTGAAGTCCATCTGATATAATGAAAAAAGCCCAGGACAGGGTGATTAGCAGTTTTAGACTCTAGATCCAGCTCTGTCATGACACTATAACCTTAGGCTTGTATCTTTTACCTTCTCTAGCCACCTGTTTTCCTATGTGTAAATTATGAGCTTTGGATTAGATTAGTGATTCTCAAAGAATGACCCCTGGACCAGCAGCCCCAGCTTCACCTGGGAACTTTTTAGAAATGTACACCCTCAGACCCCTACCTCAGATCTACTGATTTAAAGACTCTTGATGGGGAGCAGGGGGAGAGAAGGAAACAATCTGTGTTTTAACAAGCCCTGTGGATGATTCTGATACACTACTAGAGTTTGAGAATCACTGCCCTAAATTAAATTTTAGCCTAAAATTTAAATTGTTGGACTGAATTCCAGAGTTTTCTGATTCAGTAGGCATGAGGTAGAGAATTTGCTTTTTAAAAAAGTTTCCAGATATTGCTGAGGCTGCTGGTCAGGTACTACACTTTGCAAAGTAATGCTAGGTTATCTCAAAGTTCTATTCCAACTCTATGTTTCTATTATTACTCTTGCTTTCACGATGTCCTCTGACCTCCTCATTTACTTTGTCTCTCATCTTATTGAATAACCTCTGGGCTAATCTTTAGTGTTTGAAGTTTCTAACATATCTTTCTTTGTAGAGTGTGAGGAACAGAAATGAACTGACCTAAATGCTTACAGCTTACGTTAATATTAAATACCTACAGCTCTTTGGCATTAAAAATGACCCCAAGAGTTTGGTTAGTTATCTCATGAAGATGGAAAGTTATGAAGGAAGTAATTTAAGACACTAAGATTCAAGAATTAAGGTTTGGTTTCTAATTGCTATTGACCTCCTTCTGTTGTCTGATGATCTGAAGAGCTTGGGCGACCAATGTAAAAATAATGTTTTCATTCTAAGATGCTGTTGAATAAGTAACACCAAAGAGCTCCAAATACATGTTCAAATGAACATGTATTCCCATCTCTTCTTTATCGTGGTTTTCTAGATACTTGGGATAGGATAATTCTCTGTGAGGCATATTGTCTGCTAAGCATGACAAGCCTCTGCCTGCCAAACTGAATTATTTAGTCGGGTCATGTTTCTTTCTTAAATTAGAGTTATGAGTAAGATCAACTATTGCTTTTATATTGCTCATTTTATCAGCAGTTTGAAAATTTTTGAGTCCTGAATATGGAAACCATATAAGAAAAGAGCAAGAATCCAACAAGGATTTACTGTGACATTGCATTACTATTATGTCAAGTACTGTGCCATGAGAGTTACTTTTATTGTTTAGTCCTCATAATAGTTGTGTAAGGTAGTATAATAAGCTTCAGTTTATAAATGAAGAAATATACTCAGAACAATTAAGTAACTGTTCAGGATTACACAGTCAAGAAAAATAGTAGCATATAGATTTGAGTTTAGATTTTTTTACCAGCAAGGCCTTTATAGGCACCCATGAATGAATGAATGAAGGAATGACTGTAATCACACTATCGTCTTAATGTTGACTTTTAAACAATCATAGAATTATAAAGTTGGAAAGGCCCTAACAGTTATTATATAATCAGGTTTTTAGTTATGTATTTGCTTTAAATATCTCTAACATATGGGGTTATACAGCCTTTCTTCACTTGACCATCTCTAGGGAAAGGATATATAACATCTCTTTAATCAGAGTGACTATAGAATAGTTTATTACTAGAAAGTTCTTCTTTGCATTTCATTTCCATGAAATTTCTTCTTTGGGGCCTAGTTCTCCCTCTGTTAACCATTCAGTCTTAACCAATCCTTCTTCCATACATCATTCTTTCAAATATTTGAAGATAACCTTACCTCTTTTATCTCTCAAGCTACGTATTCAAACATCTTTGGCTACTTCTCAATAATAACATAATATTTATGAAATAGAAGAAATAATAAATGAATATAATATCCAGACTCATCACTTTCTTATTCTCCCTTTTTAGAATGTAAGCCATGTGTGCTATATGTTATGTACATATTAGGGCCATTTTTCTGGAGGAAAATGAAATTATTTTCTTTGATGTACTCTTGCACCAAACAATTGTAACCCATACAAAATAACTGTGTTTTATTTTCTGGCATAGAACAGTGACCTTGTCTCTGATATCTCAAGTTTGCATCAGGGTACAACAAGCTAGAGTTCAGCAGCAAACCTGGTGCTTTTCTTTAGGGTTAAAGGCAAGACCTGGGCACTAGGGGATCAGCTCCAATTTAAGCAGGCTTAGTTTGTACTCCAATGTACGCAACTTGGGCTTACCTCAGCTAAAATGGAAGAAATAGCTGCTCAAAGCTAGTTTCTTTCACGCCCCACTGGCAAGGTAGTAATTGCACAAAGACCTTTTTATTATAAGTTGATTTTCCTGAGAAATGAATTCAGAAAAATCCTGTAAAGTGTTTATTTTTTGCTTGCCCTTTATTAACCCACATCTTAGGGCTTTCCCTAGAGAAAAGCTGTTGGTAAATGAAACCTCTTAGACCCACACAGAAGCATTTTTTGCACTGTGTCCCTGGCTATGAAGGGAACAGGGACAGGACAAGGCAAGCCAGTGCTGATTAAACAGGGTCATCAGCCAGTGTATGGAATTTTGCCTAAAGAGAAGATTTAGGAATTTAGACAGGGGAAGGGTTTGGGGTTGGAAGAACTACTGGTAAAGGTTTGTATCTTAAATAAGATATAATGTAGTCCTTTTATACCAGTAAAAAGGCTAAATACCCTGTTAGAACTTAAAGATAATTTCTTTTGGTATATCTTAGTTTTGATCTTTAAATAAGAAAAGTCCTGTATTCAACCCATAAAATTGTGCCCTAAAAACCAGGACAAAACCTTCCTGTCATGCTATCCTGGAATCTGGACAGCATTCATAGAGTAAAGAAGGAAGCTAGGAAATTAAAATGTAATTTTCACAAGCATGATTCTGTCATAGCTCTTATTTTCTTTATATGGAATACAAATACTGATATAGAGTAAAGATTTTCTATTTTGCATTTTTGTGCTCTTTGATTCATTTATTGAGGTCAAATGAAATTTGATATAGTAGGATTTATTATGAAATGCTCTCTGAATACAACTCCATAATTACTGAGCTACATGGTAGTGCATAAAGCTGTAAAACTGCTTAGCCAGACAAGCAATTTATATGTTACATCGAGGTGTGTATGGCAAAGAATATTAGTTTAATTGGGAGCCAAGATGTAGTAGCCTTAAATCTGAAGAGCTATATGTTTAACATAATGCAGTGAGGCTTTGAAATAAGATACCTAAACTGGGGAGATACAGCTTTTAGAATATATAACAATTAGACATTATTTTCTGACCAGGGATACTAAATACTGTTTTTGAAAGAAAGCACAGAATGCAAAGCAGGTGAAAGGGCAAAACCTCTAACATTGCACAGTGCTAGAAAAGAAGCAAACTTATTTCTTCTAGTTCTTTGTTTAAAAGAAAAAATAAAAGGGAAAAAGTCAAGAGAAAAGAAAACCATTACTACAGTTTGGTGGAAGCAGGGATGAGGCAAATTCACAATGAAGTTATGTCTTCGGTATGCTATTAGCATCTCAGAAAAGGGATTTGGTGAATTTTAACTGAATTTTCGCAGAGTGCAGATTTGGAATGAGGTTAGAGGTAGGTGGCTATGTGAGTACCAGCACACCACCAGGAGTGAAAAACAAATTCTTCTTGGCATACATTTGCTCCCTGTCTGATCATAGGCTCTCTTCTGTTTAGCAGGTTCAGGGTCACATGCCTCCGCTCATGATCCCAATTTTTCCACATGACCAGCGGACCCTGGCAGCAGCTGCTGCTGCCCAACAGGGATTCCTCTTCCCCCCTGGAATAACATACAAACCAGGTAAGTAGAGAGGGATTTAACATTCTTTTGGAAATGCTCAGATCCACATGTTTTTGCTTAGTACTCACAACAAACACAGGAGCATGCAAGGGAACTATGAATAAAACTATCATAAAAGCATATTTTAAAGTAAAATTAGAATTGGGAAGAGCAGGCATTGTAATAAACTAATTGGTTGCTAAAAACTTTTACTTTCTCTTCTTCCACTTGAGTTTGTCTTGAATTCACAGATAAGATACTGCTTCTCCTGGGGACTACAATGTTTTTGTCAGCTGTCTCCCATATTTTACTGAATAATTTTTTTTGGTTAAAGATCCTTCTCTCCTTGTGAAAGCTGTTATGCTCTGGGAAGGTGATCACATACAGTATAAAATGTTATTGTTCATTTTCAGACTTCTCCTAGAAAAATAGTTAAAACTGGACTGATTTAATTAGCTTACCACTGGTAGGTAAAATTGTTCTTTATTTTCATCTAAATAATGAAGTATCCAGTATTTTTAAATTCATTTTTAAATCTCAAAAAAAGGTCATGTAACCTTGCAGTTAAATATGTTTTAAGATGATTTAGCAAATATTATGATTTTTCTTTATTCCTCTGAGTTTACTGGACTCCTGGGGAATTCAATTAGGGGCATAATGGTTTGAAGCTTCTTTCAGAGCCTCCTTGTAAACAGGGCTTTAAATGTTTAAAGATATGTTTCCAAAGGAATCCAATGTAAGAAGATAGTCAAGTAAATAAAAGTCAACCTTAATTTCATTTATGCATTCTTTGTAAGTGACCTCAGCTCAGAAGTAGTGACCTTGTTCTACTCATTAATAATTTCTGTGTCAAGTTCTTTTTAACATATTAACCTGATTATATTAACCATCAAATCTGAGTACAACAAATCTGCATGCAGCATTTTCTTTGTGTATGTGGTTTATAAAGTGAACAAAGGCATTTTAATATGCTTAAAGCAATAAGAAAACATAAATTACTTTACTAAAATTCTGGATAAGGAAGCTTACTAAATAGCATAAAAATAAGCCTAGTGAATTTTAGCATCTGCTCTAATTGCTTGTTGCCATTGCTTATTCTTTTGCATTCGATACAGAACTTCTTTGTAAGAAAAGGTAGGATGTCTGTGGCAAAACACAAATTATTCAAGGAATAGAGATATTAAGGGATTGGTGAGTTTAAGGGCTGTCCAAAAATTCCTTACATATAAATGAACCACACTCATATTACCAAAAGGTTTTTGGACATCTGAGAAAAAATTATGTCATGAAAATTATTAAAAATTCATTTTTCTAAAGCATGATTTTTAGAACAAGTTATATTTACCTCCTATGAAATTGGCATCTATATTAAGGAAGGAGAATTTTTTTTTTCAGTGCATTGGTTGTCATCTCTATGTCATTGGAAACTATTTCTTCATTTCGACTTCCATTGGAACATTGAAGTAAACCAAGTTCACTACTGTTCTATTCTAAATTTGAGTTTGACACCCCTGTACCAGTCCCAGAAACATTTTAAATGAACTATATGTGGAAACTTTCCATTTGACTTCAGTGTTTTTAAAGTTAATATGACTCACATTTCAAAATCATGTATGGGTCTTATTTTCTGTTAGACACAGACATCTTGTAACTATATTACTTGCCTGATTTTGTTAAAACAATACTGCCACTTTTCATGGGGGAAGATCCTGTTATATGTTTAATGAATTTAGACCATTTTTCAAAGCTTCTCAAACAGCATTAATGAGATTACAAAATTTAACTGAGAAAACTGGAGAAACTGGAACAATATTGTGCAGAAACTAGTTACTCCAATTGAACAAAGTGCAGCTTAGAGTTAGTGTCCTAGGGTAACAAAGCTGTATTTGATTATGTTGGCTAACCTCTTTTGAGTAAGGCAGGACAATGGGTTTGGAGATGTAGGAAGAATTTTAATTGCAAGCAAGGTTGGTAAAAAAGTGTTTACTTTCGTGTCACTCCTACATTATGTCAGACAATTTAATTAATCAGAACTCTAATTATTTCAATAGTTTGGCAAATCTAGTCTTTGCTGTATATGAAAAATACATTTAAAATTGATTAAAATGGTATGTTCTTATGCTATTAGTAGAGAAATTACATCCTCAGAAGACTTAATCAATCTATGCAGTGTTTTGATCATTCACGTGAATTAAGTGAAGAGACTGCTATTGGACTGGAAACTGGACAAGTACAATACAACTTATTTTGCCCCAAACTGAGCTATGGTAACTTCACTTAAGATTATATGTGAGGGCTGGGTGTGGAGGCTCATGCCTGTAATCCCAGCACTTTGGGAGGCTGAGGAGTTGGAGGATCACTGGAACCCAGGAGTTCAAGACCAGCCTGGGCAACATAATGAGTCCTTGTCTCTAAAAAGATTAAAAAGTTAACCAAGCTTGGTTGTGTGCACCTGTAATCCCAGCTACTCAGGAGACTGATGTGGGAGGATTATTTGAGTCTGGTAGGTTGAGGCAGAAGCAAGCCATGATTGTGCCACTGCACTCCAGTCTGGCAGCAGAGTGAGACCCTGTCTCAAAAAAAAAAAAAAAAAGAAAAGAAAAGAAAGAAAAGAAAAAAAATTAAAAAAGTAATGTATGTGAGACAACAATGACGAAATTTTTGAAAGAAAACCTTGAAGTGCTGGCATAAATTTATGTTCTGGTTCCTTTAACAACAGGATGAACAAGTGCTACCTTGGTCTTTATAAATTAAAAAAGAAAATTTCCCTTTTTTTTCCCTTTCCACTTTCCCATATCTGAAATGATTTCATAGCGTTTGTGCTTACAGCTGATGGAATAATTGTCTTGATTTCCAGAGAGCAAGGAACACCTTGGCGTGATCCTCACTGTTAAAGCTGACTGTTTCTGAATCCATGTTAAGACAGTGTAAACAAATACATTCAGTTATTGGCCTCCACTCCCCACCCCATGATTTTACCTGCACCTTTGGGCATTCAGAGTCCCAGAATGTAGTAAACACCAGGCAAGCTCTCCTACCTCTTGCTGAGGGGCATGTTGCCCACAGGGATTGTGCAGCTCCAGGACAGCATCTTTCAGATTGATCTCTCTAGAAATAGCTTTATTGAGTTTTAATCCCTAATTTTAAAAAATCATTTTACAAGTTCTATAATTAGAGACATATTTCTGGATAGGAACTCATGATTAGGGCTCAGAAAAATAAACTATAGACTTCTGGTTGCTTTGCTCTTTCACACTGTGATACAGAGAGATGCAGCAATTATGAGTATGATAGATACATTTGAGCAGAAATGTTGGAGAAAATTAAAAGATAAAGCCTCTTTCATAGTTGCCAATGTATATGGCAGATCAAGATTAGCTTGCCTGAAAAATAAAAACAGTGAGTAGCCTCCTTCATACTTCAGAGTTGATTTAGATGACCCATTGCTTTATGTAGTTGGAATTTTTTAAATGATTGCTGCTAGAAAGTACCCTTGAAGTTTCCTAGGAACAGGATGTCTCCCTGATCCTGGGTCTTCCATTTACTCACTAGCTAAAGCTTACTGAATGATTACTGTGCCAAATACTGTGCTTAATATTTCACATGGATTATTTTATTTCATCCTTACTTGAACACGTCATTTAATCTTGCTGAACCTCACTTTTTTCTCATCTAATAAATGTGTCATGATTTGTCCACTACTCCATGTGAGTGTGAAAACTAAATTTGGTAAAATATATAAAAGTTCTTTGAAAATGATAAAACACTAAGATTGGGAGTAAAGTCTGACGGTGAAACTAACTTTAGTCCATTAAACTACACCCTTATCCGTTAGAAGTGCGGCCCAAAACCTGAGTGTTAGACTGAGTCATAGTATCCTTCTGCTATTTGTAAGTATATAACTCAGTGGCAATAATATATTTTCAGTATTGTATAACAAACACCACAATCCATACTCAGAACTTTTTCATCATCCCCAACAAAAATGCTGTAGCCATTAATTAATAATTCTCTCTATCCATCTACCCTTAATTTCTGGTAATCTCTATCTATTATCTTTCTCTATGAATTTGCCTGTTGTGGATACTTCATATAATTGGACTCATACACTATTTATCCTTCTGTGTCTGGCTTATTTTGGTAAGCATAATATTTTAAGGTCCATCCATACTGTAGAATATATCAAAATTAATTTTATTGCTGAATAATATTCTATTGTATATGTATGCCATATTTTATCTGTTCATCTGTTGATAGGCACTTAAGTTGTTTCTGCCTTTTGATTATTATAAATAATGCTTCTATGAACATGGTTATAGAAGTCCCCACTTTGAATCTTTTTGGACATACACCTGTGAGTTGAATTAATGGATTATATGCAGTTGTATGTTTAAACTTTTTAGAAACCACCAAACTGTTTTCCACAGTAGCCATGTCATTTCATATTCCCACCAGATATTTAAGAGGATTCCCACTTCTTCACATCCTTGCTAACACTTGTTATTTTCCATTAAAATTTATTATTATCATCGCAGTAGATATGAAGTAGTATCTCACTGTGGTTTTGATTTACATTTGCTTAATGATTTATGATGCTGATCATCTTTTCATGTGCTTATTGGCCATTTGTATATCTCCTATGTAGAACTGTTTATTTAAATAGTTTGTCCATTTTTGAGTTGGATTTTGTTGTTGTTGTTGTTGTTGTTGTTGAGTTTCAGGTCTTTGTATATTATGGATATTAATACCTTATCAGATATATGATTTACAAATATTTTCTCCCATTCTGTAATTTGTCCTTTAGCATTCTCAATAGTATCTTTTGATAAACTAAAGTTCTTAATTTTGATGGAGTCCAATTTATCCATTTTCTGTTGATACTGGTGCTTTTGATGGTATAGCAGTGAAATAATTGCCAAATCTAAGTCATAAAGATTTACCACTGCATTTTCTTCTAAGAGTTTTATTGTTTTAGGTTCTAAGTTTATGTCTTTGATCCATTTGAGTTGATTTTTGTATGT